TTATTTTTAAACACTCATTACTCATTTTGATAATAAGATATTATGCTATAAAATTTATCCCAAATGATCCTCATATATTACAGATTATGATATATAAAAAATCTCAAATTTGATAAAATTATCTCTAACCCTATATTCTTAGCAAAGAACCTATATTAAGCTTCTAACAACTCATTTCCATACATTTAAACTAAAATAAAAACAACAAATTTATTTATTTATTTACTTTTGTTTATATATACAATAGAGAGAAATCAGCGATTGTGAAACTGAATGCTGATTCACATAACTAAAAATCTAGTAATTTATGATAGGCCAGTATATATATTGTGATGAAATATATATAATATTTTTAATTTAAGGAATAAATTATGCAAGTGATACATTTTACATTTTACTAAGCAATCATGTAAATTATATAACTATTCATTTTGCATAAATTTTGTATTGACATATTTGGTTAAATGATATTAAACAATTATAATTTCTGTCTTATCTCTTAATTTTAATATAATATCTTTTAATTAATTAAGATAGTTTATGAATGATAGTAAGTTATTTTGTTTTGTATATATAGATAAAATAAATATTTGTTTGTATTATTTTTGTAATTTGAGAATTAATAAGAAGTTTATAAAAATATTTCTTTTTTTGGTAGGTGAAATATAAAAATGGTTTATTTCTTTTAAAACTCCAATAATTAAAATTTTTACATTCCTTATCCCAATAATTTTTCATTAAGTTTTCAGACTTTATCTTATAATTCTATTTATCTCATTCACTATAATATATTTTTTTTGGCTTTACTTCTATAATTTTCAATATTTAAAGCAGATAACTATTTGACTTTTATGAAATTACATATAATATTAAGTGATTTTTATATGATATTTTACATTTTTTTTTACATTATCGATAAGTAAATTGCTTAATTTTATTATACATTTAGAATTTTTTTTGTATGAATGTTCATTTGGTTTATGAATATTAATTTATTAATTTTAAAACTCAAATCTTCTCTTTTAGTGAATCTTACTAAAAAAGACAATTTTACTTATAAACTCATAAATTTTTCACAAAAATTTTTTTAAATTAAAATTTAATATAAAATGATTTTTATTTTTTAATAAAAAGTATTTTATTGAATAAGCAATATCTTTAAAGAAATTTCTTTTTTATATTAATAAGTTAAAATTTATAAGAAAATATAGGAGCTTTACAGTAGAAAGAAAGGAAACTCTAAAAAAATTTTTTTTAAGATAATATTAAATCTGAATTTATTTAACTAAAAAAATCATATTTAACTTATAAAGTAAATTTTTAATTTTTTAGAGTTTTCTCCCTTTCTACTGTATAGTTTAGTTTCTATGTGATAAAATTTACTAAAAGTTTAAAAGATTTGAATAAAAACTCTTAAAAGGTATATTTATTAAAATAAATTTTTACTTAATATATTATATATTTTTTTTTACTTGCTTTTATATTTTTATATTTTATTCTAAATATATTATAATACATTTTATTAATATTACAGATGTAACTTATATTTTTGGAACTCCTAATTTTTTTTTTACTTGGATGGTATGGTAGAAAATATTTTAATTAGAATTTCTTTTTAGATTTTTTGTAAATCTATTCTAATAATATTAAACAAACTTCTTACTTAACTTTAAAAGGTATTACATTAATCATAAAAGTATGCAATCAACAAAAAAAAGTAAAAATCATGTGTCATATAGCATTATAATATGAAAAAAAATACTTCAAAGTTGGAAAATACCAAATTCTTTTACTAATGAAAAAAAATTGAATAAATATTAGTATTTTTAAAGTAACATTAGCGTTATGATGGATAAAATAGAAAGAAAATTTAAGACCTATTTTATTATAAACTATCTGAAAACCCACCTTTATAACCTAAGAAATTCTTTTTTCTCTTATAAATTTACATATATTTTTATTGTCAAAACTATGTATTTGTCCATACTTTTAAAAGGATCTTAAAAAATACCTTGATTTCAAGATATAACTCAAGTATATGTTGGGGAAAAAAAATTTACTAAAACACGAAACCTGATAATGCATTTGGGTTGGTGTCAAATGGGTTGTTATACGAAAATCAGGTTTTGATCATATGATTTTTATAGTTCCGCAGCATGATTTTCGTACGTATTCTATCAAATTACTTAATTGAGTTCTTTGTTGTATAAAGAAACACGCGAACAAACACAAAATGAAGTAGTGCTATATGATTACACAAATTTAAGTTTAATATGAAAATGATTTTCATCCATAATGTACTGCGATTATTATAGCAATTTTATTGATTTATAGCGTTTTTAATGATTTCAGCGATTTATAACAATTCTTTATCAACTTATACTAAAGAATAGCATAATTCAAATTTATACGGACGGGTTTATTGATCATAAAGATTTGTATCACATGAGATTACCAGCTCCCTGCAACTTCTTCACAACTTAAATCACGAGTTGATTTACGATCAGCCAATCGGATTTTTTCTGTAGCAACTAAGCACGGACTCATATATTTTCTATTTTTTCTGATGGTAGAGTCTGGACACGGTGTCTAAGCTCGATTAATCACGTGGCGCAGTACCTTCAGGACATATTGGCAAATTATTTTCGGCAAAAGTACTTTTAGCAGTGATCATTAACGCATGTAGAATAAAACCGATATGGGCAGATATACAAATGTAATAAATACAACTGCAAAGAAAACACTATTTTTTTAATTGCCGAGCCGTGTCACCAGGACGCAGTAAATGTGACGCAGTGCCAGCCGAAAATGATTACGAAGTACGTTAACACATTCAGTTAAAAAGATATGGACAGATATAAAAATGCTTTATTTGCTTTATTAATATATATTTTGAAATGCACATGCAAGAAATACTATTTTTTCTGATGGTAGAGGCTGGACACGCTGTCCGCGCAAAAGAATGGATTAATATAGAGAATGGACATATAGGGTTGCGCGTTCCCCGAGGGAGCGGTTTTTGCCAATATATGTGAAAAAAATCCCCCCACCCATACTACCTGCATTTATGCATAGATCACTAGCCCGACGTGAGCGATGAAAACTTTATTTATTATTTTTACATGGAGTGAGTGGACATAGCGTGCTGCGTAAATTAACATGCTGTGCTTTTTTTTCTGATAAGACACACATGCCACAAGGGCACAGTCAAGAATTTCGTAGTTTATCAGTTATTATTTACTAAAAAACAATTTAGCAATGCGTCATTCCACTTGCAGTAAATGTGCTTAATATGCACTGTAGTTGCGGGATGGTAACAAGGTTCGATGATTAAAATAAAGATTCATAAAATTTATCTTACAATATTGTATTATAAAATAGCTATACATAAAACAGGTAACGCATCTCCATCAAATAACAGATTTCCTACATATTTTGTTGAAATAAACCTCTGGCTTGCATAAAATAACTGATTAGTTTCTCAACCCACAAATAATCTCTTTATTTTACTCACCACATCCGCTCACAATTAATTTTTTAACGGCACCTTTCCGTTTTGGACTTCGTTGGCGATGAAAATTCCTTTGGTCGGTCTGGCAATAGCACCTTTCCCGGTAAAAACTTCTCTCTTTCCGCACGTTCCTTTGTTGAAGCGAAAAGAGCAACCGTGGAGGATAACATTCTCTGTACCAAAAATTTAATATAAGTACAAGTTAAGCAAAAGCAAGAAATTAGAAACTATTGACTTCCTTGGCTTGCAGCATGATACGCGCCATTTTCAAAACTCCCATAAGTTCTTCATAAGCAGTCGGGATATCAAATTCCGCAAGCTCGGCCGAGAGGTAGAACCCAGCGCCAACATATATTATGAGAATCAATCGGATAAAAAATCTTGACGATAGAAATCCAGGCATAAGCATCTTTGGGATGACGTCAAGAACCTCCTTCGAAATTGCTCCATCACTTGTCATAACAATTGTATCAGTAAGAGTCTTGTGCATATCTTTGAGTGTTTTTTGAACTTTAAGGGCTTTGTCTAGAATCTTCCTGTTATTTTCGATTTTTGAACCAGCACGTTCGCATAAAGAAAACTCGCGACCCATGTCATATCTTTTGCAAGGTCATGACGCTGTGAATGAACTTTTTATCAGCAATCTCTTAATAACAATAAAAAGCCTAAAAACTTTCAGTATGCATACCGTAAACAACCAATCAAGGTGGTAACCTTCTGCATCAGAAGAAGCTTTCTTTCACCGATCACGTGAAGCTCGAGATACAGTTTCTCCACTACAGAAAGAATCATTAGTGTTGATTGTGTCGACTCAACTAAGAAAATAACCAAACCTACAAGTGCCTATCCACAATGCCGTTAAAGCAAGAGAAAATAGTTGATTTAATAAAAACGTCTATATCTCTTTCAGAATTATGATGAATTCCCATGTCAATCATCTCATAACTATAACAATAAAGGGTTATAAGTTAGTTTAATTTGAGACGTCCATTATCCTAAGGATTTAAATTAAACTTACGTGTAGCGGAGTAATTCAAGAATGTATGATACACCTTTATTTAGGTAATCTTCTTCCCGTATAAGATTAATATTGCTTTCGCTCTCATCATCAATAAGTAGAAAAGGACTTGATTTTTCAACTTCGCTGGACGTGAGAATGTTTCTGATCTCAAGAACTGCACCATGTATCCCATTCGGTTTGACAATTTTTGCAATCTTTTTCAGTTGCTTTGTCGTCAACTTAGGGCCAAATTGGAACAATTAATGACAAACTAAAGCAGGCATTTCTTGTAAATTTTAGTATGCTTACCTTCGCTAATGATCCCAAACATCTATCTGCTGATGGCCCAACATTTGTCCACTCATTGGTTTGTCCTATCCGGAGGGCGGATGAGATTAATGTGCGAACTTCTTCCTGATCACTTTGGGATAATGTTGAGGGAGCAACCTCAGAATAGGATAGGTCTATTATTCGCCATAAAAGTGGCCTGCACAAAAAAAAAGTTAGCTTTACTATCAATATCAATTAGCTTATCACTGATCACTTACTTTGAAGCAATATTCGAGTTTATTTGCGACATCATTGTTTTTTGTTCTTTGATTACTTTATTCAACCAATCATGAATTGGATAATTGAATTCCCATTCAACCGAACTTAAAAACGAGAATGAGATAACGTTATTACAAACTACATATTATTGTAGCTATATGTATTCTATCCTTACCTAGCATCAATCGCTTTTATCTCTTCTTCATCCTGTGCATACATCTAAAAGGTTCGTGAATCAATTTAAATAAAACGTTTTCGTGCTAAAAAATAAAATGAAATAGAATAAATATAAACTGGTACCTCGGATAGTATTTGTGATTCGTCTTGATATGTAACTTCATCCTAGTAATACAATAAAGGTGAGTTGTGACGTCGATACTCAATATCATATCTAATAATGTATTAGTTTATGCATCTTATGCCGACTACGTTTTCCATTTGATGAGCCTGCTTCGTTGTCATTGGTTTCATCCTGTGGTCTCTTTTTATTTGTCGTTCCTTGTAACATCTCTGATAATTTTTGGGACGAGTATATCTTTTCTTCTATGTGCTGGACCCTCTCAGTAAGTTGCAGGTCACAATAACGTTCATAAAAGTTGTTGTACCAATCCATACATTGTTCTAGGACAGTTTCTCTTTCGAAAGTATTAAAGTTTATTAATTCTTTGCAAAAATGCTTTACACTGGACGGAACTTTTGTATGGTTGGTATTTTTTATCGTTATAGTTTCGAGTGAATCTTTCCAGCAATCATATACATCGGTCCAGGTTGGAGTTATGCTCTCAGCTTCTAAACGGTAGTTTAAGTAACTTTTTAGACTCCAGTCCTGGGCACCAACGTTTTTAAAATAATCGTTAACATTTAATTCACCAGGCGCCAAAAAGCGGGAGTAAATGTTTGATCTTAACGTCGCAGTCATTTAATATTCGATAATAGATTTTTTCAGGTAAATCGGTCTTTATCGATCTGGCAGTTCTGCTAATTATTATAACGGAGATGGCGTAGTAATACTTGGTTATTTTGAAGATCTTTTTTAATTAAAGCAAAAACCGGTATTTAGACCGGATCTAGCCTATTACTGGTTTTGGTTATTGCTAAACCTGAAATAGAAAAGGCTCGTTCAGATGCAACTGATGTTGCTTGAATGGATAAATAATCCTTAGCCATATACAGTAAGAGAGTATCGGATAGTCTTTGCTATAAAGTTTCCACCACGTTAACGTTAAAGGATCCGTATGACTATCACATGGAGAATTAAAATATCAGTTTAATTCTTCATTAGAATCATTAGAATTATATATGTTGTTGTTATTATTAAGTATATTTAAAAAGTAATCTCTCAAGATTGTTTTGGTTTTAGGTATTTGTTGTGCATTTGATGGTATATATGATAAAAACATTTCTTGTAATATTTTAATAGCATCTTGAACTTAATTATCTTCAAATGCTAAACATTTATACCGCGGATCCAATAAAAATGATATAATAGATGATCGATCCAAGTGTTTTTTCCAATATTTTAATAATTTTTCATATATTGCTGAAGCTATTTGTTTTTGTAAATGACATCCCTTCTATATTGATTTAATTTAGCAAACATTTCTATAAATGCTAATCTAATATCTCCTTAGGATAGATTCGATGATGATGAAAGAAGGTTGGTTACTTTATATATTGGCTGTGTAATTCCTATAAATTAATTACAATAATAATTAATTAAATTAATTGAAGTATAATAAATAAAATAAATACCTTTATAAGCGCTATTTAGATTTAGAAGGAAATAAAGGATTTAAATCATCATAATTTGTTTATAAAAGTTTTTCTGAAATACTTTGCATTAAAATTTGTCATATAATCATTAGATATGTAGAATTCCACCTTACATCAACATCTAAAATTAATTTCAAAAATTTGGTTTTCACATATCAGATAATTCACCTAGCAATAATGATGAATTTTTTATTTTTATAACAAATTGACATAATTTTTTATTTCATTTCCAATCAAGATTATTCTGCTTTTACTGCAATATTAATTATATATGCAGCATATTTATAATGTGAAAATGAAAAGTTATTAAATACTGTTTCCAATTCTTCTGCTAGTTGAACATTACAACATTACAAGTTACTATATTTGAACTATTATCAATAGTTAAAGCAATAATTTTATGACTAATTTTCAATTCATTAAGGATTGTTAAAATATTACTTATAATTAAATCTGCTGAATATGATTCATGTAATGGTATTAAATCTAGTAAAAAATTTTTTCATTTTTTAATTATTATTAATAAAATGAATGGCAATATTAAAATATCATTTTTTTTATTTTTTTATATCCAGATATCAGTTGTAAAAAATATTTTAGACTTGATTTTTGAAATTTCATTTATAATTATTTTCTTCTTTCATTAATTCTAATATAAAATTTATTTTTAAGATTTGTTTGCATGGTATTTCACAACATGAATTTAATTTTTGATGAAAATTTTAAATTGAGAATTCTCAACAATAGAGAATAATTGCAATAAAATCAACAAAAAGTTTAGTTATTGGTTTGAATTCTTTTTAGATTAAGGCTTATATCTTAAATCTTTTAAAGTGATTGTCTGGATTCAGATTTTTAATATTTTATTAAATGTTTATTATTAAGGTAACATTGAAGGAATATTGTTGTATTATCAGTTGAATATATTTGTATACATAATGTACACTTATATTCTGTTACAATATTATTTTGTAATTCGCAGATTTTTTTAAAAAATTACCACATATCTGAAGAAATTGTAAACTTTAAAGTTAATGTATTTTTCTCTTTTACTAAAGAATCAAAAGAAAATATAGATTCATTATTATTATTTGAAAAATTTATTTCATATGACATTCAAATATTACGTTAAAAGAATTAGTTGGTTAAGCTAAAATAATTAATGTTATAATATGTGGTTACATGTTGTATAATTTATATAATAATAGCTAGACATGTCATATGCAGATCAATTTTATAATTAAATTTGCTTATGTAATAATAATTAAAAAATTTAACTGTTAACCTTTTTAACATATACTTCTTATACAAATTAAGTAATTAATAGAATGTCATATGATCTATTCATTTATTTTAATAATTCATCACTTAATTTTTTTTTTTTTTTTTTGTAATTATAAGAAGTTTTATTCTAAAAAGCTTCTTTTTTTAAGATCTTTTTAAAAGTTGAAAAGAAAATATGATTTTAACAGTTAAAATAAATATAGTTTTACATGAAAAAAAATGATTTCTTAGGTTATAAAAGTAATTATTCAAATAGTTTTTATATAAAATGCAAAAAATTGATTTTTTAGTAAAAAAAATAAAAAAAATTGATTTTTAATTTAAAAATATTTATTTGATAATATTTAACTAATAATATATATTATAATTTAGCAAAAAAAACAAGTTTTATTAAGGTGAAAAAGATAAATATTCAAGTAAATTTTAGGTTATTCTTAAAATTTCTCTAATTTTTAATATAAAAAATAATAAAATTTATATATTTATAATAGAAAATAATCAAATAATATTTATAAATATATTTTAATTGGTTTTATAATTAAATAATTAGTTGAATAATTGCAAATTTATTTTTTTGTAATATGGAAGGCAGTCAGTAGAAAAGGAGAAAATCCAAATTTTGGTCAAAATTTATATTATTGGATCACTTAGCTGATCTTGATCATGTGCACAAAATTAGCTTAATAATAAAATTAAACAAAAATTTTGGATTTTCCTTTTTTACTGATCACCTCCTATATTTTAAAAAAAATTATATTTGTATTTAAATGTGTTTTTATTTCAAAAATATGTAATTTTTTGTTAAAATTAAGTAAAAAATAAAAGAAAAGTATTAAATAAATATAAAAAATAGAATATAAAAAAAGTTTTGATTATTTATATAATAAATATATCAAATAATAAATGATTTTTCCAACAAGGTCTTCTTAAACTAGCTAAATTATTCGTTTTTAAAAGTTTATAAAAATTTTCACGAAAAGTTAATGAACATTTTATTGTAACAACTGTTCAATTTAATTAGAAATATAATACAGTTTATACAGTTTACATATCATGAAATAAAAAAAGACAAAAAATCATATAAAATTTTATCAATCAAATGATTAATATCTATATCAATATCATTTGTTATGATTGACATGTGATTCTTGATAAGATTGATTTTAGAATCGATTTAGTCCAATTTGATTTGATCTAATCTTATTAGATTAAGATTAGTCTTACAATCTAAATAAAAATAATAATAAGTCCTAGCAGTCTATTAGTCTTTATATTATCAGTCTTATAGAAAGACAAATTGAACTGTAGTTTAATTTATAAAACACAATCAGAAAGATCATTAATCTTATAATTCAATCTTTTAAAAAAAATTATTTATAATATATTACATTACAATAATATATTAGATTATTTATAAAACTAGTATCAATATTTAAAGCTTCATTTAATAAAAGTATCATAAGGAAATATTTTAGCTTCATTTTCTTTAACTGTTATCAAAGAAGAACTACTTTTTGATCATTATAAAAGAAATAAAATTCAAAGGATAGTTAAAGTAGAGTAATATCATGTGAACTTATATGAACGTATAATAATTGGTTAAAGATAATGTGTAAACACTATTAATTAGGAAAATTAAAATTAAAATTAAAAAAAATAAAATAAAAAAATATAAACTTTATTATCAAAGAAAATACATTATGCGTTAAAAGTATTATAGCTCTTTTTTTTTAGCTATATTATTAGTTCTATACTATTTTTTTATCTGGTCTTAAGAAAAAAAAATAGAAGTAAACTTTTACACTTAATTTGAAATGAAAAAGTTGTGGTAAATTATGGATTCTACTATCTCTTCAGCAGTTATATTTCCTCTAGTTAATGAGAATTATACTACCTCTTCAGCAGCTACATCTCTTTTATTTAACAAGAATTCTACTAGCTCTTTAGTAGCTATATTTCCTCTAATTAATAAGGATTCTACTAGTTCTTTAGCAGCTATGTTTCCTTTCATTAATAAGGATTCTACTACCTTTTCAATAGTTATGTCTTCTTTAGTTAACTTTACTCTGGATGAAATTTGGTCTTATTTTTAATGTAAATGGTATTTTAAAGATTTTAATCAGAGATTTTGATGACAATTGATGGCCTTTGGTTACAAATATTTAGACATAATAGAATTCATAAAGATTTGGCAATAGGGATTTTTAAAAGGTTTTTGCATATCAGCTTACAAAACATCGAGAATCAAGTAAAAGATAAAAAGAAAATATTTCAATTAATAATTGTAGAAAACAGTAATCTGACCTTCAAATATTTGCCAAACAAAAATTAAAATCACATGCTTGGTTTTTTTAGGAGTTATTAAAATTGAATATTATAGTAATTCATCTAATCATACCTATAATTTGAGAGAAAATAATAGGGTTAAATACTCATAAGCTGTTTGAACTTTAGTTAAAAAAGAAGCAATTAAAAACTATATTTTACCAGAAATTACTGCTGCTGTAAAGAAGTATGTAATAACTAAATTAGGTTTTGATTTAAGTGTATATAATTCAAGATGAAAAGAAATAGTGAATATAAAGTATAAAATTTGTGAACCTATGAAGACCCATCTTATTGGTAATTATGACTTAAAAAAAATATGATGAAGGCTATATCATATTTAACAAATCAAAGATATAAGGTTGAAAGTTATTATATTTTCCAATGATCTATTAAAGGTTTTGTATTTGAACATCCTGAACAACTTAAAAAACTCTTGCATCATAGCTGGTTAAGATGAAAAGACACTAATCATATCACTTAATTTTATAGGTAAAATCAATGAATATTATATATTCAAGATAGTTATAGGTGTTA